AAATAAATAAATAAATTTTAACTTGACCGGCAACACTCATGAATCTTGAAAACAAAGAGTTTTCCAGGAGAGAATCTATAAGATCAGAATACCAGCTGGGGGATATAGTCCTACCAGCAGCCAGTCTCGTGCTCTCCTAAGGAGAGAGTTGAAGTTTTAGGTACCCATGGGACAACCTGTTAAAGGAGAATTGTCCCAAATTACAAACGCTAGGGGGACTCCCAGACTCCCAGACTCCCATCCATCCCAGTGGTATGGAAGTGCTTCAGCCACGCTGTCCTAAGAGTAGCGCTACAGCACAGTCGCACTGAGAGAGGCACCATGTATCGGGTTCCCTGCTGGCAGGCCAGGAAGCACTTTATAATGATGCTTACTGGCTGGGCACGGTGGCTCACGCCTATAATCCTAGTACTTTGGGAGGCTAAGGCAGGCGGATCACTTGAGGTCAGGAGTTTGAGGCCAGCCTGGGCAACATGGCGAAACCCAGTCTCTAATAAAAATACAAAAGTTTGGCTGGGTTGCTGGCGCATGCCTGTAATCCCAGCTACTCCGGAGGCTGAGGCATGAGAATCCCTTGAACCTGGGAAGCGGAGGTTGCAGTGATCCAAGTTCACACCACTGCACTCCAGCCTAGGCGACGGAGTGGGACTCCGTCTCAAAACACACACACACACACACACACACAAATAATGCTTACTTACAGACAACAATTTGTATAGTTTTCTAAGCAGTTTCCATCACTCCATTCCATCAACACGCCCATCCTGTGAGAGAGGCAGGGCAGAGATGAGCCTCATCAATCTCCCCTTGCAGCAGAGGAATGTGCGGGTAAGAGAGTCCAAATGTTTCTGAACAAAGCCATAGCTCGTGCGTGGTGAAGCTGGGCCTAGCCCTGTCTCCTGGCCTGGCGGTGGCGGTGGGCTCTGTACAGCATTGATTCCCAGCCAGCAGCACACCCTGAAGGGTCACATAGCAGTGGGAGTGCAGATGCTTAGACTTTCCCCATCAGAACCACTCAATTGGAATCTTCAGGGTTGGGGCCAGGTCAGCAGTAGCCACAAAAGATGCTCTGGTCTTCCTGCTTCAGCAGACAAAGGTTTCTAAGCCCAAATGTGAGGCATGAGGATAAATGAAATTGTAAATGGAGGCACAAAAATGTCCAGGTCTGAGTTCCTCTGTTGTGTTTTAGTCAGTTTCCTAATCACAGCCTCAGTGCAGTATTTTAGCTCTAAACAATGCTTCTTAGGTCTGAGGGAACTTCTGAAGGAAAGGAGACATGTAGATCTGAAATCCAAGTTTTTACCGTTTTTTGATAAGTAGGCTTTTTTTTTTTTTTTTTTTTTTTTTGAGTTGGAGTCTCACTCTGTCACCAGGCTGGAGTGCAGTGGCACGATCTCAGCTCACTGCAACCTCCGCCTCCTGAGTTCAAGCAATTCTTCTGCCTCAGTCTCCCAAGTAGCTGGGATTACAAGTGCCCACCACTACACCTAGCTAACTTTTGTGTTTTTAGGAGAGACGGGGTTTCACCATGTTGGCCAGGCTAGTCTTGTACTCCTGACCTCAAGTGATGCGCCCACCTCAGCCTCCCAGATTGCTGGGATTACAGGCGTGAGCCACCACACCTGGCCAATAAGCGGGCTTTTTAAGAATGTTCCCAGGCTGGGTATGGTGGCTCACGCCTGTAATCCCAGCACTTTGGGAGGCCGAGGCAGGCAGATCACCTGAGGTCGGGAGTTTGAGACCAGCCTAATCAACAGATCAACATGGAGAAACCTCGTCTCTACTAAAAATACAAAATTAGCCAAGCATGGTGGCACACGCCTGTAATTCCAGCTACTCAGGAGGCTGAGGCAGGAGAATTGCTTGAATCTGGGAGGCAGAGGTTGTGGTGAACCAAGATCGTGCCATTGCACTCCAGCCTGAGTAACAAGAGTGAAACTCCGTCTTAAAAAAAAAAAAAAAATGTTCCTGAGAATGGATGAACATTAAGTCCAGGTCCTCTGTTAATAATGTTGTTACTATACTGTTCTTCTCATATTTATTTTTAGATTGAAAAAAATCAAGGGAAGGGATGATATTATGCAAGTATATATGATCATTAAATAGGCAATACGTGAAGGTACAGAGGTGTACATGAAGGTCAGCACCAATGCTGTTCTCAGCTACCCATGTTGAGGCAAGGATAATACTGATGAACATTTGTTAATACCTACTTGGGCCAGGTGCAGTGCCTAGTATTTTGCACATGTGATCTTAAGTAATGCTCACGGCAACTCTGTGAGGTGGGTAGTGGGATAAAATGTTAACTGTTGACAAAATCTATCTCATAAGGCCAGGTGCGGTGGCTGATGCCTGTAGTCCCAGCACTTTGGGAGGCCGAGGCAGGAGGATCACTTGAGGTCAGGAGTTTGAGACCAGCTTGACCAACATGGTGAAACCCTGTCTCTACTGAAAATACAAAGTTAGCCAGGCGTGGTGGCACGTGCCTATAGTCCCAGCTATTTGGGAGGCTGAGGTAGGAGAATCCCTTGAGCCCAGGAGACAGAGGTTGCAGTGAACTGAGATCACGCCACTGCACTGCACTCCAGCCTGGGCAACAGAGCAAGACTCCATCTCAAAAAAAAAAAAAGGGCCGGGTGCGGTGGCTCAAGCCTGTAATCCCAGCACTTTGGGAGGCCGAGACGGGCGGATCACGAGGTCAGGAGATCGAGACCATCCTGGCTAACACCTGAAACCCCGTCTCTACTAAAAAATACAAAAAACTAGCCGGGCGAGGTGGCGGGCGCCTGTAGTCCCAGCTACTCGGGAGGCTGAGGCAGGAGAATGGCGTGAACCCGGGAGGCGGAGCTTGCAGTGAGCTGAGATTGCCACTGCACTCCAGCCTGGGCGACAGAGCGAGACTGTCTTAAAAAAAAAAAAAAAGAAAAAAAGAAAAAGTCTGTCTCATGGAGTTGTTGTAATGATTAGTGACTTGACTCTATCCAGTGTGGCACTAACGCTGGATTTCCAAGCATTCATTAGGTTCAATGATTCCTAAGAGACTCAAGGGACTCTACTTATAGTTATACTTAACAGTTCTGATTTAGTACAATGGAAGCAAAATCAGCAAAGGGAAGAAGTGCATGGGACAAAGTCCGTAGGAAACCAGGTGCTAATGTCCAAGAGGCCTCTCCCAGTGGAATCAGACAGAACGCACTTCATTCTTCCACTGCCAAATTGTCAACACGTGTAAAATGTCACCAATCAGGGAAGCTCATTAGAGGTACCTTGTACTCAAAGTTTTTACCATGACATACTGGTCATGTAGGCATCCTCTGCCTAGCACATACCAAAATTCTAGAATCGTAGAGGGAAAGCTGGTGTTCTGCATAAAGTATCTTTTTTGTGTTTGCTTTTTTGAAAAAAAAAAATGTGTTTTTGTAGAGACAGGATCTCACCATGTTGCCCAGGCTGGTCTTGAACTCCTAGACTCAAGTGATCCTTCCGCCTGTAATCCCAAAGTGCTGGATTGTGAGCCCTGGGCCCAGCCAGCAAAAACTATCTTGTTTGCCTGAGCAGTTGAGGAACAATGTTAGGAAATGATGGGAACCATCTCAAAATCCAAGTTCTCAGCTGTCAGCCATGGCCTGATCTAAGAATTTTCTAAGGCTCAGGCTCTAAGGAGTCTCAGGCCTGCTGTGTTAACTTTTTTCTGCACAGCACTCAAAGTTTATTTCCTTTTTGATTTTGAGAGATGGGAAGGCTGAGTTTCACAGAGGTTGGGTGGCCTTCTCAAGGACACACAGCTACCAGGTAGCCAGGCCAAGATCTGGAATTCAGGTATCATGGAAGACCCTGAGAAAAATCTCTGTGGAGCCAGAAGAGCTTCTGCAGTTCAACACTGTCCAGAACTTTCTGCAGTGACAGAAGTGGTCTAGATAGTGGAAATGCACCATCCAGTACAGCAGCCACTAAGCACACATGACTACTGAGCACTAGAAATGTGGCTAGTACCACTAAGGAGCCGAATTTGTGTTTGTTTTTAATGTTTAATTCATTTAAATAGCTGCATGCAGCTGGTCGCCACCATACTGGGCAGTACAGTTCTATACTATAATGTAATGGATTTTTCTTCAATTGGGAAGCAGGTGGGATAAATAGATCTTGGTTCTTGTTCTGTACTAAAGAATGCACTGGTCTATGTGTTCCTCTCACTTGGCGCCCTTGTGTATGTGCAACAGGGGAAAATAACATGTCATGTCTGCAAGTTCCCTGAAAAAAAAAAAGACCCTTTCCATTCAGCGATTATGCAAGCTTGGTTTCATTGTTATTAAAGAAAGGAGTTTGCCTGACTAAACATAGAGCATTAAAGCTGCCCCCGTAGGGGATTCTGAGGCCGGTCCTGGTGAAGCTCCCTTGCTGGACTCAGGCTGCCTCCTCTCGGCTTCTGACCTGCACAGCCGGTTCTCAGGCCTCTGTGTTATCAGGAAACGGGGTGTGCCGGCAAGTCAGGATGACCTTCTACCCATGTGCGTCTTCTCTGTCTGCCTTAGTATGAGGCGCGAGTGAGCAGCCAGACAACCAGAAGCCCAGAGAAGGGGAGAAGAGACTTTAAGAACCTGTAGGGCTAGTTAGAGCACTGAACTTCTCTTCTGTCTTCATCCTGACGCCAGGAGGTGATATGGGCCCAGGGGGTGGGTCTGCTGCAGGCCAAGGAGAGCTCATGGATGATGAAGAGGCTGGAGAGCTAGCACGGGGGTTATAAACACCAGCTCTGGAGCAAATAACCTCAGTTGGTATCCTGGTTCCCATGCCTTAGGAAAGTTACTTAAGGTCACTGAGCCTTAGTTCCTCATCTGTAAGATGGGAAGAAGATTATTGGGAAAATTAAGTGGGAGTAGTAATAATATCAGCTGTTGCCTCTGGGGCTGTGCTTGCCTGCGAGCCACACCAGGCTGCAGATGACAGGAAACACAGTGAGAGCTGGAGTTGCTGCTGACTGGGCGCCCCCTCCATTCCAGCAATTCCCTTTCTGTTTGATGTCCGTGAACATCACCCACATCGCCATCCAGGCCTTGAGAGAGGAGTGTCTTTCCAGGTGAGTCCCCAAACACCAGCTGGTTAGAGTGACCCAGCAAAGCCTGGTTCATCCCCACTCTGGCTTCATTTTCCCCAGCTCTACTCCACCTGCCGGCTCCTGGAGGGCCTGGACAAAGTCCCCAGGCACCAGTCTCCCCAGGACATCTCTCCTCCCACCCGTGGCTTTAGATGTCAGGCTCCTGGGGAATGGTGGGGGCATCCTGGGTTTGGGCTTGCTCCCCTGGGGAAATGGGGAGGGCGGGTGGGAGGGCACCCAGGTCTCAGCCTTCATCCACTGCTGAGCAGGTCACCCCACCTTCTTCCTGCAGAGAGTGTAATCGGCAGCAGAAGGTCATCCCCGTGGTGAACAGCTTCTATGCCGCCACATTCCTCCACCTTGCACATGTCTGGAGGACACAGCGGAAGACCATCTCAGACTCCAGCTTTGTCCTCAAAGGTGTGCTCTTTCTTCTGGGGAGGCCTAGGCTCCTGAGTGCACAGTGTCCCGGGTTCAGAGAGTCCAAGGTGGTTGCTAGACTGGTTTTAGCTGCAGTTCTTCCCCATCCACACTTTCTCAAATTCTAGCTTACCAAAATCTCCATCACCCACACCCTGGAGCCTGCTAGTTCTCCTTTCTCTGCCCTGACTGTTGCCCCTTTCTGGCCTTATACTAATGACGAGCATATATTCTGATCAAAAATTGGGAGTTGGGGTCCAATAGTTGGACTATTCAAAGTTGCAGTTGTCTGGACAAGGTAGAGTGCGTGGTCCCTGTGTCTGTATCTGGCTCCCCGGGCTACCTCTCTGGTGATCTCTCCATCTGAGGCTCCTTCACCTTTCTCTCCATGGGATAGGGGTTGGGGGTGCTCCCTAGAGCTGCTAGGCTTGAGGCCCTGACTGTTGTGTCACCAAGACCCCCCTCAAGCCTTCTGCTCCCCAATTCTCTCTGTTGCAGACTTGGAAGTATTGGCCAAGAAGAGCCCACGGCGGCTGCTGAAGACCCTGGAGCTGTACTTGGCCAGAGTGTCAAAGGGACAGGCCTCCTTGTTGGGGGCACAGAAGTGCTGTGGGCCAGAAGCCCCTCCCTTCAAAGATCTCACCTTCACAGGCAAGAGTGACCTGCAGCCTCACTCTTCCTAAGGCATGTGGCTGATCTGAACTCCGAGATGGATGGAGGTGTAAAGACTGAGCTGCAGGGGCTTTCACAGGGTCAGTGGAAACCATGTCAGGAGGCTGGCCAGGCCGCACCCCTTGCTGTCTCAGCAGACGGGACATAGGAAGCTCCTGGGCTTAGCTGTGGAAAACCAAGTACCCTCACTGGGATGGGACATGAGGGCAGCTAGACTTCACCCCCTCCCTGCAGACCTGCCTCCAAAGCAAGGAGAATTCTGCCTTAATCTGTGGGCTCCAGTCTCCAAGGTTGAGTTCCAGTGTATCCCACTGGGAGTGAATGGATCATGAGGTGGGATGGCCCCATCTGGATGTTCTGCAGATCCACACATGGAAGGAGATTCCCAAGTAGAGGCAGCCAGAATTCTAACTCCCTGGCGGCGGCGGGGCTTCCAGGCACTGGTGTCTGTGTTGTTAGAACTCAGAGGAAGAGGGCAGGGGCAGCACCCGATGGGGCAGCATGATCCAAGCAAGGGGCCTGGTCCTCAGTGGGGCTGGGGTACGGAGGTACCTCACCAGGTGGGTGTCAGGCCCCCTCTAGAGTTTCTGGCCATTCACTTACCACTCTGTTCTCCCCCTGACCCCCGCTCCATTGTTTATGATGGGAAAATGGACATTTGGCTAGGTGTCTCTCATGGCTGCTCCATCCTAGCCCCCACAAGCTAGGGCTTTCTTGTGTAGAGGCTGTGCCCGCCCCATGATGGGTTTCTGGCCTAATTGAGGGAAGGAGGAAATTCATACCAGCAGTTTTCAAATAAAGGAATTGTTCCAATTAAGCATCTTAGGTGTTTTTTTCCAAGACAAGTCTTGCACCATCCTGTGGTCCTGTTGTTCCAGGACCTGGTTAGAGCCAGGCACACCCAAGGTGAAGGCATAGGTAGGTTCCAGCCTGGTCATGGGCTCCAGGAGACAGAAGGTTGCCGTGCTACAGCCAAACCCTGCTGAGTTCATAGGACGTCCATCCTCTGCTATACTTACACGCCCAAAGACTCCTTGCAGGGTCTAGCCAGTGGATGAGGTAGCCCAGTTCTTGTTCAGATTGACTGGTATAAGGCATCCGCACAGCATTTTTCCTGCATCTGCTTCTAGGAAAGGCCAGCACTGTTGGTTCCTTCCTGAAAGAGCCTCCAGGCCAGGGTACCTGAGCTGGGGAGTGGGGGGCAGGTGAGAGCCCCGCTATGCTGCCTTCTGTCCTCTGGACTCTCTCATGTGGAATGCTATGAAAGACCACTATCTAGCCCTGCAGGCCTCTTTAAGTCTGACCTACTGCAGGGGGGGACCATCATAGAGGTGGGGAAGAGAGGTGGCCACCCAGGCCTGGAGGGGAACTCCTGACTGCTGTCAGCAGAATGCCTCAAGGGTGGGGCTGGTAACAAACCAACCCCATAGTTTGCCTTGTGTTGTCTGCCGGACCTGAACTAACCCTTTCATTCACAATACTTCCAGTCTGGTCCTCAGCTAACCAGCAAAGATGGCAGGGAGATTGCTGGGCAGGGCATGGCATGGCAGGAGCTGGAACGCAGAGGAGAAAAGCTGCAGCTCGGCCTCCACTTTGGAGCATCAGGTTGGGTGATTCTTCCCTCTGCAGGGTCCTTTCTTCCCACCTCCCACCTGTTTAGTGCCCCCCAGATGACAGAGTACTCACAGCTTCAGACCCTGGAACATTAGCAATGATGTAGTCTGATAATATTAAATTTACAGTTCTGTTAATGAACTGGTGGTGAGAGGTACCTGAACCCTCTGAAAGTAGATGCAAAAACCTTTTTATTTTTTTTTTAAACAGGATCTCACTCTGTCACCCAGGCTGGAGTGCAGTGGCGTGATCTCGGCTCACTGCAACCTCCACCTCCCAGGCTCAAACCATCCTCCCACTTCAGCCTCCTGAGTAGCTGGGACTACAGGTGTGTGCCACCATGCCCAGCTAATTTTTGTATTTTTGGTAGAGATGGGGTTTCACCATGTTCCCCAGGCTGGTCTCAAACCCCAGAGCTCAGGCATTCTGCCTGCCTCTGCCTCCCAAAATGCAGAGATTACAGGTATGAGCCACCGTGTCCAGCCACAAAAATCTTAATCTGTGTATATTTATAGGGAAAGGGCCTAGGCCTTTCATAGGAGGATTAAAATACTCCCTACCTCTACAAAGGTTGTCAGAACCACTAATGTAGTGCAACCTTTATTCTCTCCCCTTTAAAAAACCATCCCTGGCACCTGCTCTTTATGTAGACTGTCAAGTAGGGCTGAGAAGTCTGCGGAGAAGATAGGGAGGCAGATGCACAGAGGAGCTCATTTCTTTTTTACTTTTATTTTTTGAGTCAGAGTCTCTGTCACCCAGGCTGGAGTGCACTTGTACAATCTCGGCTCACTGCAACCTCTACCTCCCGGGTTCAAGCGATTCTCCTGCCTCAGCCTCCCAAGTAGCTGAGATTACAGGCATGCATAACCATGCCCGGCTAATTTTTTTGTATTTTTAGTAGAGACGGGGTTTCCATGTTGGCCAGACTGGTCTCAAACTCCTGATCACAAATGATCCGCCCGTCTTGCCCTCCCAAACTGCTGGTGTTACAGGCATGAGCCACCGCACCCGGCCGGGGTATCTATGGTTCTTGGCGCAAAATCAGCAAGTTCAACTTGCCGATTGATCAGAATTTTTGTTTTGGGATGAAAGAATCCAATTTCTAGAGCTTGGAAGCCACATTGCCCAGAGGACCTGGGGGTGAGGGTGAGTCAGGGTGGTTGCAGCCTTGCCAAGCCTCATGGCCTCTGGTCCGAGCTGACACAGGCTCACTCTCACCCTGCTCGTGGCCCCCGCGCATGCCTTCTCAGATGGGACCTCTTTTTGGCTACTGCATTCTCCCTGCTATTCAGCTCTCTAGCCTCTGACATCCAACCACCGCTTCATTACACAAGAGAATGAACCAAGGTCTAGCAAAGGAAAGTAACTTGCCTGGGATCACAGAGGCAGGGTAAGAACCAGACTGAAGATTGTCCATGCTAGCCTGGTGCTTTTCGCACAGCCCTGCAGTGGCCCTGGGCTCACCAGCCAAACATGCAGTGCAGTGTGCCTACGAAGTAATAAGCCAGGCTTGGTACAGTTGTGAAAAGCTGTCCTGTCTTGCTCAGCGAGCATATGTCACTTGAAGCCGCCTGGCAGTGCTTTATTAGGGCATCTGAGGAAATACTGGCTTAAATGGAGCTGCATCCCAAGCCCATCGCCACAACCGTCTCCCTGTTGGGAATGTGAGACTGAACTGAACCCCCGGATGAAAGTGATCCTGAGGCCTGGCACTGTACCACCTCCTTATTGGGTTCACAGCAGTCCCTGCAGGCCTGGCTGGGACTCCTCAGTCATGCAAAGCAGCTCTGGTGCCTCCAAGGCTGTGCAATTGTCATCTGTGTGCTACTCCACCCCCAGCATGGGGATGAACCCAGGTGAATAGGTGGGTGACAGAATCAGCCCAGGTCAGGCGGTGCAGGAAAAGAGCTGGGAAAGCACTTGTCTCCTTTATTGAACACCTGCAGGGGGCACCTCTGCACTGACCAGGCAGCCAGAGAAGCAAGTAGGCAGGCGGTGGGGGGCAGAGAAGCATGGGGCAGGAAGACGCCCACCCTCATTTCCAGTCCTTGAAAAATTGCTTGAAGATGGGACTCTCACGGCCCTGGGGCAGAATCTCCACCTGCAGGGACAGTGGGGGAGAAGTCTGATTCACAAAGTTGCACGTCTGCCTCAGCCCGGGAGGACAGTGTGGGCGCCCGGCCTGAGTCCATGTGCAGTCCAGGCCAGGAAAGCTCCCCTGGATGAGCCACGAGATGAGAACCAAGGTTTCAGGGACGCAGACTGAAGCAACAGACTGCTTCAAGGACGTGGATGCACAGTTCAATAAACGCCACCAACTGTAGGTGAGCCCTGTCAGCTCCCCGCGGGATGACTTGTGGACACTGTGCTGCGGCTGGAGGGGTGGCACCAGCCAGGGGCAATCGCCCAGAGGAGGAGCACCCAGTTCTCTGTGTGCCCAGGGGAGTGCTGCCCAACATCCTCTTTGAAAATAATAAGTATTTTGACATTTTGAAGGACTGAGATGGGCTTTCTCACTGGATGGGTCTAAGAGGGAGGCCTGGTTGTTCCTGACAGTGCCCGAGGCGCTCTTGCCCTTCCTGGCCAATTTGAGGGGTCAGGGGCCACAGGAAGAGCCCTAGGAGGAGGGCTGGGGGCATGGGCATCTCCTCACCTGGGTGTTCAGGGCGTACTGCATGCGCGAGATGAAGCCCTCGGCCACTTGCAGAGCTGCCTGCCGCTCCTTCTCATTCGCTTTTCGCCCTGGATCATAGGAAGGAGATTTTAAAAAAGATCAGGGACCCTCTTTAGCCCCCATCCCATTTTTCTTGAGGAAATTTAAGGGAGTCCACAGAAGAGCCAGCAATTTTTACAATAAATAGACCAGGGGTCTCAAGAATGCTGAGGGGCTCTTTGGAGATGTGGAGTCAGTCCCTTAAGAATTTTCCCACACTGGTAGCACCAAGGTAGATGAAAACCCCTCTTCTGCCCGGGTCTGATCATGCAAACCTGTTCTAACCTGGGCCCCTTGAATATTTCAGGGAGAGGAACAGGTGTTCACCCTAGCATCAGACTGTGAGGTTACAGGTCTCCTTTTCCCCCAGGACCCCTCACCTCTTGAGTTCATCAAGCCTTTTCTGAAAAACTAAATAAGACAAAGGGTACAATTTATTATAGAGGTGAACTTACTCCCATAATGCTGGCAGGGCTACACTGGCCTAACGGTTATGCTAACTAAGTGCTTACAAAAATGAAGACCCCACATAATCCAGTCATTTCTGCTGGCAGTCCTGAGAACTCAGACTGCTCATTCCAGGCTTTTTTATTTTTATTTTTTCTGAGACACAGTCTCGTTCTGTCGCCCAGGCTGGAGTGCAGCGGCACCATCACAGCTCACTACAGTCTCAACCTCCCAGGCTCAAGCAATCCGCCCACCACAGCCTCCCGTGTAGCTGGGACCACAGGTGCACGCCACCACGCTCAGCTAATTTTTGTTTTTTTGTAGAGAAGTGATATTTTGCCACGTTGCCCAGGCTGCCACACATTTTTCCAAGGAAATGATGCCGAACGATGCCATGATGTGGTTGTCTCTCTAGGCAGGCTATAAAATGCCATGAACTACAATGTATCTGAAATTAATATGCTGGATTCCTTCCTCTGTCAACTGACCAGCTGCCCCCCTACCCATGAGATCCTTCTCTTCCTGGCCTCCCAAGTCTCCTGTTTCTCCTCTGGTTTCTCTTTCCATAGTGGTTGGGTTCCTTGCTCCGGTTTACACATGCTTCTGTGGGCCTCTGGGAACCCCCCTCTGCTTGGCATTGGTTCTATGGGATATGTGCCCTCTGGCAGTAGAGAAAAGGCAGCCCTGCAGCGCACGCACGCCTCTCTCTTCCCACTTTTGCTGCTCCCAGCTCCTTCCTTTCACCTCTATCTCTGCTGAGTTTCAGAAGCAATACTATGAAATGCCTGGTAGCAGCTATCTGTAGATACCCACCTACTTGTCTGCCTTCCTGACCAGGCTAGGGTCTCGCATTTTCTCTGCCTTGGTTGACCCCACGACTGGGTGTTGAGCAAATGCTATTGCTGAAAATTCTCAGACCCTAGACAGACTCAGAACAAGTTTGTTTCATTTTCAGTCAAACCAAGTAGAACAGGCTCTGCCCAACAGTGTTTCTATTTCCAGAAGATAGAATCTCTTGGAAAAACCAGTTCTACAGGTTCACC